GCAGATTTACCATCAAGCATCGGCATTTATTTTGACGTATATTTCGAGTTATGCACAAACTGCCTCCCTTTACATTTCTTATGGGAGTTAAAATTTGGTTTTTCCGAGTTCAATGTTTCGCAAGCGGGCGATGGTTTACAGGAGGGCTCTTCTACCTGCCCGATTTTCATAATTTTGGTCTTAAAATAAAGCTATGGAAGCACATATTTGTCATCAAGCATCATCATTAATTTATATAATCAATCGACAAAAGAATTTGTTTTCTCTTCAATTAAAGATGTATTCCAGCAGTTCTAATTACATTATATATTTTGGTCTAAACACCTTAAGTGAAATACCAGCTTTCATTTGAGCTATTGATTATTAAGATCGGACTACCTAAAGCACACTGCTGAATCACGAATCAACAATAAATACAATAGTTTTAGTACCTATCTGCAATCAATGATACGTAACTCTATTTTTTTTTAAGTTATTTTATATGTCTTGGTCTTAAAATACTTCAAAGGCTTTCACTTGAGATATTGATAGTTTTAATCAGTTAAGTTCAAGATACTGTATCGCTCAATCAAAAAATATAAATTTGATTATATCTTGGATTTGGAATTTAGTTTTAGATACATTTACTTAATTCTAATTACGTTATTCTATTTGTTTTGACCTAAGAACCCTCATTGAAATACCAGCTTCCATTTCATTAAAGCACGCAGCAAAACCACGACCAACACAAATTATTCAAAAAATGGAGTTATTTATCATCGATTTATAGCCAAACGATCTTGCTTGCAACCTCAACAGTACTTTCATCATTATTTGCAAATATTCACAAATTAGGCTATCCAATGACCTATTAATTAATAAAATCGGTTCAGTAGAACTGTAGATTTAATTGTACAAAGTTTAACAACAACATCTTTAATTCAGTATTTTCTCACTACTATAAACCTGGAGGTTGCTTAACGTTTTTGCAAATAACTTTGAAACGGCGAGGAAATCGACCAAAGTGGAAGGTGATATTCTGAAAGAGAATAAAATTTCCTACAAATTACTGTTATGAATTTCTCGAATGTACTCAATAAAGGTAGCCTAAAGTTGGCTACAAATATAAAATTGAAAATATAAACCTAGAATAAAAAGAGTTTTAAATGTATTATTTTTATTTTTATTTATTTTCCTTAAATAACTAATAAAATCAAACTTTCATAATTATTTGCAAATCTACACAAATTAGGCTTTCCAACGACCCATTAAGTAACCAAATCGGTCCGGTAGAAGTCTAGATTTAGTTGTACAAAGTTTAACAAAAATATATCTAATTCATTATTTTCTCACCACTATAAATTTGGAGATCACTTAGATTATTGCCAATATCTTTTAAATGGAGGGGAAATCGACCAAAGTGAATGTAATATTCTGAAAGAGAATAAAATTTACTACAAATAACTACTATGCAATTCTTGAAAATACTTAATAAAGGCAGCCAAAAGCTGGCTACAAATAGAATCTTGAAAACAGAAACTTGAAAAACCCAGTTTTTAATGTATTTTTTATTTTTTATTTTTCACCACAAATATTTAATAAAATCACGATTTTATAATTATTTGCAAATCTACATGGGTTAGGCTTTCTAATGACCCATTAGTTAACAAAATCGGTCCAGTAGAAGTCTAGATTTAGTTGTACAAAGTTTAACAAAATATCCCAAACTCAATATTTTCTCATTACTATAAATTCAGAGGTTGCTTAGCTTTTTTGCAAAACTATATATATAATACGTGAAGCCGTATTTTGTTAACGCAACTCCTCCCTTATTTGTGGACCAATTTCAACGTTCAAGGTGTCAAAAGATTCTTCTCAATATGTAGTTTTGCAATAAGGTTTTAGAACTTTAAAATGCTTACTCTTAAGGGCGCGAGACCCTCTCAAAGGTTGGCTTTTCCCCATAAGAAATACACAGAACAAATTTAAAAACAAAAAAACAGCTGTTTATAAAAAGAAACTCATTAGCTTTTTGGGAGTAAATATTGATGTTTTAATATTCAGTAGGTTAAGACCAAGTTAAACAGTTAATCAGTTTTGTTGGAAGAACGGAAAATGCCTGAAGTTCACAGAATAAATATTGAAAACGGGAGGAGGAGACAATAAGGTATCTTATGCGTATAAGGAGAATAGAGAAAGAGAGGCCTGGTCTAACAGATACACATCCATATACACATTCACTTGGTGAGATGTCAGTGAGATGAATAATATTTGCCAGTTCTGCTATGCAACTTACTTTGGAAGTGAAAAAATATACGAAGCACATAGTGTTGTCACGATGGTAAAATAAACTTGCCTAATGTCAGATCAAATGAATGCACGCAAGAAATGTTTACTTCTGACACTGACAGATCTCAAAAAATTTAGTACAAACAAGAATAATGGCCTTGACAATGATAAGTTCAATTAGTAAGATTATACCAAATCTTGGCGGACCTTATGTTTTTATTGTAAACTTTTGTATTACTCGCTCTAGTTTATTGAGGAAAAACACAAATGGATTGTTTACTTCTAGGTTATGTTGCCAGTTCCTCGGAAAAACTTATACAAAGTTTTTTTGACTGAATTTTAGTGGCAATATTAGACATAAGTGAAGGTATTAGTGTTTATGTATTCAACGATCGAGTAGTTACAGTCAAGTTTATTTTTATGATTCAGGAGAGGCAAATAATATACGCTGTTCAAAAAGAGATAATGAAAATTGCTATCCAAATCTTATAGCTACCAGAGTTATCCAACCTTAAACCTATTTTGACAAATGAATCCATACTTTCAAAACTTTAGGACAGGTAGCCTATTAAGAGAAACCCCAATGAACAACGTGAGAACGTTCTGATGCGGGTCATATACTGTGACTAACACACAACACGTTAAAATACGTTAACAAACTATCAATGGTGTTGCTGCTTTAGCCTATTCAAAGCAGTTTATGGCTTTCCAGTTGATAACCCAGAGTTTTTGGGTAAAAAATGGAGCACATTAAATGGTTGATATCATTCCAATTTTCAGGATTCTCTACGGAGAAAATTTGGTTGATTAGGGGGATGTCTAGGCAACAGTTTTCTTAAATTCTCAATGCTGGAAAAACTTTGTTGCAACATGTTAGCTCGAATTGAAGCAGATCGTTTAGCATTCATTAGAAGTTATCAGTTAAAACTGAGAGCAGAAATAATGTAGGTGAACCTTGACGACACAAATAGAGATATTTAAAATTAGTTTTCTAACAAGTGTGTTCTAAGAGGTGTTTAAACAACTCTAAGATGTAACTAGAATTACTAGAATTTAAGCATAACGTTTTCCTCGGCGTTATGTTTCATACTATGCGGCTCATTGAGCCGCACGGGTTCTCTAGTAACTTTTAAATGGTGAGGAAATCAACCAAAGTGGAAGGTGATATTCTGAAAGATAATAAAATTTCCTACAAATTGATACCATGCACTTCTTGGAAATATAAAAAAATGGCAGCTAAAAGTCGCGCCCAAATAAAAAGTGTGAAAAACACCGTTTTCAATGTATTTCTTATGGAAAACACGTTTTCTTTAATTTATCACTATAAATCATAACAAAAACAAACTTTCATAATTATTTGCAAATCTACACGACTTAAGCTTTCCAACGACCCATTAATTAATAAAATCAGTCCAGTAGAACTCTAGATTTAGTTGTACAAAGATTTTTAAAACTGAATTATATATAGAATAGATGACAATATTGAAGATGACTTTGATATTGACTTTGAGTTTATAACTCAAGCAATATGAAACATTCATTGTAGGCCTAGGTGTATGAATTCTTATGAAAAAAAAAACTCTGTGAACATTTTAGGCCTACTACCTAAACCGGTGATTGTTGTCTCAATTAAATTTAATAAAATATGTTAAAAATCATGTCTTTTTGAAATAGCCTATCTTATTTTCCTTATTGGCTAACCTAATCTATGTAACCTTAATCAATACAATGCAGTTATCTTATTGTATAAAGATTAAATAAAGTTATCATAAGTTATATGTGTTATTAAATTAATTTTTAACGGGTATCAGTATCGAGTGCGTAATCGAGAATCGAAACCAAAGTTGTAGAATCGGAATCGGTATCGGAATCGACCAATTCAGGAATCGGCCCATCACTAGTACTAAGATAAATTTCAAAAACAACTGCCGAACTGTCAAAACTCCTGATTTTACAAAAAGTTTGTCAGTTGAAAATCTAAAATGTTTTTTAAATGCAACTTTTAGAATTGTTCTCTGCATTACAAAAAGAGGCTGCAAGATAGTTTTGTAAGGACCACCAAAAGCAATAATTCCAAATGATAACAATGATTGAACGTATACATAGTAAGCGATTTTAATTTCTGGCTCTTTGAGAACATCACTAAGTTGTCTAAATGAATAAATATATTTACGTAGTTTATTTTTCAGATATTCAAAATGTTCCGACCATTACATCTTTGAATCGAAAACAATACCAAGGTATTTATATGAATCAACTTTTTCAATTTTGCTACAAAAACACAAGTTGTTGAAATAACTTCCTAAGTACCATGATCAAGGACAGCTTAGCCCAGTTTCCAACTATTGAAACTGTATTTTCTTACCTGAAATTGAACCAGCAGCCTTCTGTCTACAAGGTGAGTACAGAATTGGAGGTCTGTGGGTCTTGGATGAGTTCAGGCTAAAAAAATGTTCATGCCAGGCTTGGGGGTCCCCAAGGTAAGTGAGCTTTTAATTTTGCAATCTCAAAAGTATTTCCAAAGATACACAATTGAAAATTGACGATTTTGCAGCAATCTCTGGTGATGTTCACGGTTTTGCTGCGTGGATGGCCTTGCGACCAAGGAAGATATTTACGATACACCAAGACTGTGGAAGATGTTCTTGATTTTGCCGTGACCATGGAAGATTTTCATGATTTGACCGTGTCTTTGGAAGAAATTCACATATACACTTGTGTAGCCCAGTTACCTGATGTGTCAACAGTATGGTGATCTGTAGCAGCCACTGTCTGGTTTGTGAAGTAGACACCATTCTCTGTCCACTTCTCACCTTCACCAGCCCTAGAGGATGGTTGTGTGCCAGCTCTATCACTAGTTCCATTCTTGACTCCTCAAGAGTGTACACTGCAGCTACCTCCTTGGTTGTGGGGTGAACATGTATCTATAGAACAAGTAAGTGCTATTTACTAGTTGTTTTATTACTTTCATTGACCATACAACGTTGGTCTGAGATAAATAGATTCAGCTGTTTTTAGCGAATTTCCCATATAGGGAATAAGCTATTACTGTAGTACTCATGGTAAGACCTGGACCCGGGTCCGATTTTTTTCATTTGGAGGTCCCTAGAGGCCAAAAACACCATCCGTTCAAATTTATATATATATTTATATATATATGTGTCCGTTAGCGCGATAACTCGAGCAAAAATGATCCGATTTTGATGAAATTTGGTACAAATGTGTAAACCTACGTTTATTCGAACGAGTTGGCGAACCAGCATGATCGGATAATGGGAACGGGGGTTTATGGGGGCTTTTATGGGGTAAAAATGGGTTTTTCTCATTTTTGACCCAAAAAACGTAAAATTTTGCAATTTCTTTCCAAACAATTTTGTAGAGCTTAAAAAAACAAATAATTTAGTATATTGAAGCGTTATAATGCGCCTAATGGTTACGGAGAAAATTCCAAATATTGTAAATTTAAAATTCTCATGTTATTCTTATGGAGAATAAGTAAACTGTTGTAGTTTGCTTATTTATTAACATATTTTGCCCAAATTTGGAAAATGTTTTTATTTCTTACTAACTATTAGCATTTTACATAAAAAAATACTTTTACCCTCCCTGTTGCAGCAAACCTAAGTATGTGTTAAACTGATTCTATTTAAATAGGGAATAAATGTGATATTTTTAAGGAGACAATTTAGTGTAAATCCAATCAGGCAAATGGAAATTCGCTTAGTCTGCAGTTTTGCTGCGGCGGGGGTATTTTTTCTTTGTTGAAACTTGACAGTGCACTACTTTTTAAGAGGTTTATTTTGTTTATCATACTGCGCTGAATAAAAAGAAATAAAAAAATGGTGATGTATTTTATGATAATATTTTATGAGAAGAACTTGTTTTGCCCAAGTTTAGCTGATAAAGACGTGGATGCCAGGGCATATTTTATCACATGATGACACCCTTTTAAACTTGAATTTAAGCACTACCATAAACAGTTTCGTCATCTGTATGCAGCAAACACGGTTCAGGTAAGCAGGGAAAGATTCAGTCCCTGAAATAAAGTTAATCTGAACAAATATTATAATTTTGGTAATTCTGAGCAATTACTTGGTCAACCCCAATGTTTTTCATATTTTACTACAGTCATCAGGAGGTTCTCAGAAAGCAAGAAACATATAATTCAAGCCCCGCAAGGTTAAGTTAGGTTAGGTTAGGTTAAGTTAGGTTATTAATTAACCTAATCTAACCTAACCTAACCTAACGTAACGTAACGGTACTGTTACAATTGGCCTTAGAGATGTATTTGAGACTAAAAAAAAAATAAAAAGTTAGGTTAGGTTAGGTTAAGTTAGGTTATTAATTACTTAAGGATTGTCGGAGGAACCACTAGCCATAGCCATGACGGTACTGTCACAACTGGCCTTCCGCGCGTCTCCCGCAAGCCACTGTTATCGCTTGGACTTTGAACCTTCTTTTCGCTCGGCAACCTGTACGATGGCCTTGCGGGCCTTGAATTATATGTTTCTTGCTTTCTGAGAACCTCCTGATGACCATAGTAAAATATGAAAAAAATTGGGGTTGACCAAGTAATTGCTCAGAATTACCATAATTTTGGTTAGTATGAAGGTACATTACCGCCATGTTTTCAAATTTTTTTTCCTGATTCTGGATGGCTCTCATCTCGTCAGAACACAGGTCTGGACTGACGTAGGTGGCTGTGACATGCTCCACCAAGCCATAGATGCGGTGCTCTGCCTCGTTCCACCACTGACGTATGGCAGCTGGCAGCCGGCGCAGGCTGCATGAGAACACCCAGCAGCTCAGTTGTGCAAGCCGCTCACTGCTCCACACCCCTACAAATTCATACCTTGCGTGAATGCCCCCTCTCATCTATTAAGTAGGTATATTGTTACAATTGACAGCTTCCTAATTCCATTTTGTTTTATAAACTGAAGATGCAGTGTTTCACAGCTGAGATATCGCATTTAGACTATTCCTAAAAGTATAGCAGTACCGTAGAACCTCAATTATATGGGATATTTGGGGGTGAGAGACCACGGATAATCGAAAATTGCGGTTATCCACACTTTTCCTACTACACCTCTAGTAGTAGGAAGTGTCAACAAATTGACTTTTATTTTAACTCTGTAGTTATTTCTTCTTTATTATCATTTTGTTTTGTTTGTTGACCCAACTTGACCCTTCAAGCCAACCGTTGGCAAATTTTCGATCTGATGTTTTTGGGGACCTGCAGACCCCTAGTATTTTTCTTGGTATAACGAGGTTATGTAACCAATTTTACAGGTATTTTTTTAGGTAGATTAGACCATGTTTGATCTGCTGCCCAGTTTTTCCGCCCCCGGTTAATCGAGGTTCTACTTTTTGCAATTCTTTGAATAGTTGAATTTTTGACAAAGTAGAATGTTACCTTTATTAAATTGAGGAGGTTTGGAGAATAGTTGAGCAATTCGCTGGCTTGGCATTTCACCATGGACAGCAGCCTCGGGCATCAAACAAAACACTGTCTTCATAAATACTGGTAGATACTCCTCCCTGCCATTACATAATAAAAACTATACTAATGCATTACATAGTTATTGCAACATCTCCTATAATAAGACTCAAATAATGGTAGTGACTAGGAAGATAACTCATTGCCCACTGATCAATATGTCAAAATAGTATACGCAGGATGGACACAATTGGCACATATTAAAATAAGTAAGGAATTACCACAAACTGCAAAAAAAAAAATAAAATGCAATGAACTAAACTTTTCTGGTCAATTTTATTTATTTTTTCTCCCTCAGGTGATCCGAGTAGTTGGTAGTGTAGTAGAAGTCATTATAGTTTCATATATGAACGGTCATAATTATTAGTAACGGAAGAGTTATTATGTTTTGCGGGGTGGCTGCACTGTGCACTGGGCCCTGAAGTGGGATGATTCGTCACGGCTCCTTCTTCTATGTCCACCAACGAACGTAAGTGGTTCTCTTCCTGTTTTGTCCACTTTTCTAGCGTAACGTTAGGTTACGACATTTTGGCGCAGTCGGTAATAAACCTTTTTATCATAGTTAGGGTAGTACGCGATAACAGTTGTTGTTTTAGTGCGTATTATAGTTGAGATGGTTAAAAATGGCGAGTATTAGTGTTGGCAGGATTTCTGAATTTAATCCAAGTGAGGAGGACATTGTGCCCTATTTGTTGCGCCTGAAACATTTTTTCAAAGCGAACAATGTTAAGAAGGAGAACGAGGTGTCGGTTTTAATTACAGTTATTGGTCCCAGGGTTTTATCGGTCCTATCCGATTTATTATCACCGGTAGAGGTAGATTCTAAGACCTATGATGAACTATAACCTATGGCAGAGCGATATGTATTCTACTCTCGTGTGCAAAAGCCGGGCGAAAGCATAGCGGAGTTTGTGGTTTCAATAAAACATTTGGCTAGTTCGTGCAAATTTGGTACCTTTTTGAAAGACGCTTTGAGGGACAAAGTGATTTCCGGCATTTCTAATGAAACTATCCGGCAGAAATTGTTGTCGGAGGAATTGGACTTTGACGAAGCTTATGCGTTAGTGCTCAGGCTGGAACAGGCCGAATCGCAGTCAAGCCTATTTGTGCAACCTCGTGGGGACATTGCGAAAATCAATGTGAAAAGTCAAAATAGGCCTAAAACTTTCGTGAATAGGAGTAGTGAAAATCACAATTCTAGAAACTCTTGTTGGAGGTGTGGTTCTGCTGGTCATTGGCCTAGTGCGTGTGCGTTCGCCAGTTACAAGTGTCATGGTTGTCAGAGAGTAGGTCATCTCAAGAAAGTGTGTAAAGCCAAGAAATCTTCTAGTTTCCATGGTAAAAAGTCGACACCTAGGATGGGGGTCCATCAAGTGGAGGAAGAGGTTGGCCTAGGCCTAGAAGTTCCAATGGCAGAGATAGGTTTGTACAACCTTAAATCAGGATCAGACAACGGCTATAAGGTAGGCCTAGTGGCTAATGATGTATATTTAGAAATGATTCTAGATACAGGCAGTGCCTTGACTATATGTCCTTCTGAGATATTTTATGAAAAATTTTCTAACCTCAAACTTAGGCCAGCAAATGTGAAACTTACTACTTATTCAGGTCATGATGTACCTGTTCTGGGACAAGTGAATGTCAATGTTAAATATAATAATCAGCAGGCGAGTTTGCCTTTGACAGTAGTTCGTTTAGAAAGTAAGAGTCAACCGATTCTGTTGGGCCGAAACTGGTTAGGCCAGTTGAGGTAAGATTGGCAAAATGTGTTTTCATGTAAAGCCACTGTGGATCACAGTTCTGATTTGGACATTGCTAAATTGAAGAGTAAATTTAAGTCAGTTTTTCAGCCTGGAACGGGCGAAATTAAGGGTGTTAAGGCTCATATTGTCTTAAAGGAGGGGACAGTCCCTAAGTTTTGTAAGGCGAGACCAGTGCCTTTTGCGTTAAGGCCAAGGGAGAAAGTTGAGAGTGAGTTGGACCGCATGGTTCAAGAGGATGTTGCGTACAGAGTTACTAATTCACAGTGGAGCACTCCACTTGTGGTTGTCCCTAAGCCTAATGGTGTTAGGCTTTGTGCCGATTATAAGATTACTCTTAATCAGTGTATTGAAATGGAACATTATCCGCTTCCTCAGGCTCAAGATATTTTTGCAACTCTAGGCGGTTGCTCAGTTTTTAGCTGCCTTGATCTTTCAAATGCGTATCAGCAATTGGCGGTAGCGGATGAATCGCAACATCTGTTGACCCTAGCTACCCATAAGGGTCTGTATCGTTTAAAAAGGCTACCATATGGTTTGTCTTCAGCTCCTGCAATTTTTCAGTCAGCCATCGACCAAATTTTAACAGGTCTTCCAGGAACGGTGGCGTACTTAGATGACGTCTTAGTGGCGGCTCGCTCTAAGGAAGAGGGGCTTGCCCGTCTGGCGCAGGTGCTGCAACGCCTTGATGAGTTTGGTGTTCGAGTAAACCAACAAAAGTGTAAGTTTTTGCAATCTTCAATAGAGTATTTAGGACATGTGATTATTCGAGATGGTCTCCGTCCACAAGAAAGTTTGTTAACTGCGCTGCGTAAAGCGCCTGAGCCTAGTACTAAGGAAGAGTTACGAGCCTATATTGGTCTAATAAATTATTATCATGCATTTATACCTAACCTGTCTGCTAGAATAAGCTGTTTTTATGACTTATTACATAAGGATCATCCATGGGTGTGGTCGGAGGTGTGTTCTAAGACTTTTCAGGAGAGTGAATCATGGGTGTTGGACTCAAGTTTGTTAGTTCACTATGATGTTAAAAAGCCCATAGTTCTGACGTGTGATGCGAGTCCCAGAGGGGTGGCTGCTGTTCTATCCCATCTTATCGATGGGCAGGAAAGGCCAATTGCCTTCCCATCGAAAACGCTAAGTTCCAGTGAACGGAATTATTCCCAGTTACATCGGGAGGCTCTGGCTTTGATCTTTGGAGTCAAAAAGTTTCATAAGTATATATATGGAAGACACTGTATTCTACAGACTGATCATCAGCCGTTGACGGCTATTTTTGGCTCTAAAAAGGGCGTTCCTAGTATGGCGGCAGCTAGGCTGCAGAGATGGGCCTTGATTCTATCAGCATATGATTTGGAGGTTAGGTACCGGAAGGGAGTGGATGTCCCTCACGCTGATGCGTTGTCTAGGTTACCCTTAGCAGAAGCGGAACCTATAGAGCTGGATGCTAATTTTGTTTCACATGTAGATGTGTGTACAGAAGTGATGAACAATTTCTGTGTTGTCAAGGACATTGCACCTATTACTGCCTTGCATATAGGTAAAATGACGGATAAGGATCCGATTCTTTCGAAGGTCCGAGATTTTGTGATGTACGGCTGGACGAGCTCTGTTGAGCCGGAACTAGCTATTTTTCTAAGGAAGAAGGACGAGTTGTCCGTGGAACAAGGTTGTTTGCTGTGGGGTTCTCGTGTAGTGATTCCAAAGAAACTATATTCATCTGTGCTTCAAATGTTGCATGATCAACACCCGGGAGTTACGCGCATGAAGATGCTGGCGAGAAGTTATGTCTGGTGGCCAGGCATGGAAAAGTCGATTGAGGACGTAGTGGCTTCTTGTTCTGCTTGTCAGTTAACTAGGAATTCGGTACCTAAAGTACCGTTGCAGCAATGGCCTACAACATCAACCCGATGGCAGAGGATACACATTGACTTTGCGGAGGATCCAGAGTCGAGACAGCAACTTTTAGTTTTGATTGACACATACTCTAAATGGTTAGAGGTATTTATCATGAGTTCCATGAATTCTTCCAAGGTTATTGAGAAACTCCGTACCTTGTTTTCATCGTATGGATTGCCTGTCGAACTGGTGTCGGACAACGGAAGATCTTTTACTAGTCAAGAGTTCAAAACCTTTTTGCATAACAACAATGTGAAGTTCACATTAACTCCCCTGTATCATGCGGCTTCAAATGGATCTGCAGAGAGAAGTGTTCAGGAGGTCAAGAAAAACCTTTTGCGTCAAGTGATTGAGGAACATCAGCGTTCTCAGCGTACCACTCTTAAAATGAAATTAGATAATTTCTTGTTTGCGTACCGCAACACTCCAAATACAGTTACTGGCTTAACACCTGCAGAAATGTTCCTGTCTTGGAAGCCTCGTACACAGTTGGTTATGTTAAAACCCAATCTCCAGTCATCCATTGATCAAAAACACAGGGAACAAAAAGATGCAGCTGATAGGCTTAGGGGAAGAAGTAGATTTTTCTCAGAAGGTCAGGCAGTCTATGTCAAAACTGTCCGAAATGAAAAGATATCTTGGGTTCCTGGCAAAATAATTCTACAGAGAAGTTCGGTCACCTATCTTGTGAGTGTCATTGGTGGAAAACCCCGATTTTGTCATGCAGACCACTTGAGAGCTCGGTATGCAGAAGAGGAGGAGATTTTTGTATCACCCAAGGATCCCGTTGTATCACCCCAAGTACCCAAGAATTCACCCCCGCCGGAGGATCGACCAACTAGTCCCCTGATGATGTCACCTGTACCTAGGCCTACTACCAGTCCCAGGGAGAGCCTAGGGCAAGCCCAGCCTCAGCCAACTCCTGCGTCGCCGCTAGCACAGTGCAGCCCACCACCCTCGCTGAGGAAGTCTGGACGGACTGTGCGAAAGCCTCACAGGCTGGACTTGTAAAATAATTAATGAATAATGGGAAGAAGAAATTTTTGTTGCATTATATTGAAAGTGAATTTATTTTATTTTGAGTTAATTTTGAATTTATGGTATTGACTTTTTTTATGGGGAAGACGAGTGTAGTAGAAGTCATTATAGTTTCATATATGAACGGTCATAATTATTAGTAACGGAAGAGTTATTATGTTTTGCGGGGTGGCTGCACTGTGCACTGGGCCCTGAAGTGGGATGATTCGTCACGGCTCCTTCTTCTATGTCCACCAACGAACGTAAGTGGTTCTCTTCCTGTTTTGTCCACTTTTCTAGCGTAACGTTAGGTTACGACAGGTAGTCAGCGTGTTTTGAGTTAGGATAGTTGGAGTTCAATT